GTCTAGCACTAAGTTTAATAGGGCATCATAACCCTTAAGAATGCCGGAAGCTTCGCGACCTCCCGCAAATTTGACTCGAATTTGTTTTTCTAAATATTTGGAAAGATCCAGGATAGATTCCTTACGGCGCTTTTCTTTGGCATCATTGCCGCCACTTGTCTGCAGAGCAATAATTGTTATGCTACATGTGTATGTATAAATGTTTAGTACAAACCTTAGGTTTTTCAGCCATTTTATTATTAATTTGTGGTTTTTAGGTAATTTCACACTTCTAAGCGGCAATTAATGTACAATACCTAAATCCAGATCATTGTGTACAATGATCCAGATTTTTGTTTACGTGAGGTTATGTTGTGACGGACATGTCAAAATAAAAAGTTTTGATCACTTGATATTGTACCTTGTACCTTGCAAAGTTGCAACAAGAATTTCGGAGACATGTATTCTTATTGGAGGTTTTTAATAAAAAAAATTAGGTATTTGTGTATTAATTTCCAACTATAACAGCCGCACTCAGAAACGTTCCTTAAATTAGCTCTAACGGGCACTTAACTAAGGATCGTTAAATCTGTTAATTAATGTTTCCTCTCAGAGTTAAAAATTTTGAAATAAAAAATTTAAGTATGGCCCCAGTTGCGGCCCGTCATTTTTGTGGCATCACTCACTTTTTTTCGTTCAGTTTGAAATAAGATATACAAATAAGTATTTATATCATTTTGCGCGCATCGGCTCAACAAACGCAATGGCTGAGTGAGCAGAGTACTGGCGTGCCATTCGAGAGATCCGAGTTCGAGTCCGAGGGCAGGAAAATTTTCTTTTTTCTTTTTTATTTATTTATTTATTTTTCTTATTTAATTTTATAAACTGTCTGTATTGAATTTTTTAGCTTTTTTGATCTAATTTTCTTTTGGTGTATAGATTTTATTGCTTTAAAAAGAAAACATTTTTTTTTTTTAGTTTAATTAAATTGTTTGCTAAAAGACAAACAAGACCAATAACAGGCCAATTCTGGCATCTGCCTTTCAACTCACCCCAGTCTTTCGAGAGACAAAAGTCTTTGGCTGCGTTTCTTTATACTTTCCGGATAATCCCATTTCATAGCCGGAATAAACAGAATGCGTTTGAAATATACATTAACATATCATCAGGAACGTTCTAAAGAATAAGTGAACAAAAAAGTTTATTCCAAACGTTCAGAATGAATAAAGAAATGCAGCCTTTATATTTCGGCTACTATCGTCATAGCCCTTTTCTGTATTTCGAATAACTAATGGACAGATGTGCTAATAGTGTTATTATATTTATCGTTAGCAATAAGTTTTCTAAAAACTAAACGAAATCAAAAACAGGAAAAACTAAAAATTTTAGAAGCTGAAAGTGAAAGAAAAAAGATGAGTCAAAAAAGTTTCCAAACGTTAAATAAAATGAAAAATATGAATTTTTGAAGCAACAAAACTTAAAAAAAAAATTGTATTCAAAAAAATTCGTTGTCGAGTATTGAACTCCGATCTCTTGAATGGTACGAAAGTGCTCTGCTCACTAGGCCATTGCCACTGATACAGCAACGTTATCGAAATAGAAATTTATTGAAAACAAACAAAAAATTTCAAAATCATTCGTTAAAAAGTTAAGGAAAGGATTTTGATTACTTAACTTTAATGTTCATTAAAAGCCGTTAACGAATCATTAACTGACTCTGAGAGGGAATTTTTTCAAATCGTTACTGAGGGACACCTTAAGTAATCATTAAACGACTCTAACAGCCGCACTCAGAAACGTTTCTTAAAATATCTCTAACGGGCACTCAACTAATGATCTTTAAATCTATTAATTAATGTTTCCTCTCAGAGTTAAATATTATGAAATAAAAAATTTAAGTATGGCCCCAGTTGCGGACCCACGATCCAGAAAATAAAGGTCGCGCCATTCGCGGACCGCTAACCCTCTCATCGTCGATTTGACAGCATCCACCCAATCCCTGACGTCATAAAATACTTTTGTTTACATTCACTGTTGCCAACTTAATGCTTTTCGCACCAAATTTAGTGGGTATTCAAAACCCGAACATTTTTGAGTTTGGTGCTTGGTGCGTTTTTGGTGCTTTTGTTTTTAGTTTGAAGACACCAAATTATAAAATCTTAAAAAAATGGAAGCAAAATTTATAGCAATCATAAGCGTGGTAAGCCACTTCACAAAAATTTTAATAAAATCATGGCACAATCATAAGCGACAACAAAATATGTGGCAGCACCTTCAATCAAGCCAGAAAAAATCGACCGTCGTGCAGAGCTGTAAAATGATTGAATCAACATAGTCTGCATTCACTCAGCA